AGTTAATGAGGTCTGATCAAGATTCGCTTCCTCCAACCCAGTTCACATCTGATGCGGCAAAGTAATCACAGGATTTTACCTCATTAATTTTACAGTTGGGGCAGTTATTTTACAAGCAACCTCATGTAATTGCAGGTTATACTGTATACAGCTTGACAACCAACAAGATGATTGACACTGTAGGCTCCATCTTGCATCTTTCTTGGAGGAGTACCCATAATAGTCACTATGTGATTGTATAATTTCTTCAAAACTTTGCCACATCAAAAGCAAATGAGGGAAATGGTCCTACATTCCAGCTTTTCTAGATTATGAGTGCAAGTCAAAATGATGGAATGCTATGAGGCGAGTTCTGGTAGAAATATTTGGCAACCTTTCTACCTGACCTTTCTGATACACATAGCTTATGGTAAATACATATAAATCAAGAATAAACCAGATAATGGAATTATCCAAGAAACCTAATATATTTTGCTGCATGAAGCAACGAATGAGATGGTTCTTTTTTTTTTCAATATCCAAAATCTGATTAGATTCGCAGTTGACTTTAATGCTTGCCACTGCAGCAGAGTTCTCCAGTAAAGTCAGTAGGCTGGATTAGAAAACATAGGACATGCAGAGCATACAACTGTCTCTTCTTCAGTGATGTTTACTTAACTCTCAGTATCTGCTGTCTGAGACAGCATTCTGCCTAATGTTTGGTCAAAGCCTGCAAAGCGACAGTCATAATATAAGTGTCTTCTGGCACACTGAAGTCTTAAAACACTTATTATGAGACAAACTTCATGCAATTAATCAACGCAGCTGCTTTCCACTGTACAATGCTATTTATCATTTGCAATACCATTGAACTTTCCTACAAAACGTTAGGCATTAATTACTGTAATATATTACAATAATATATATACTGTGACATATGCAATATACTACAAGCACCATGGAACAGTCAGCTCTATGTCTATTTTGTGTTATCTGAGCTAAATTACATGTTACCTTTTATATATATCAAGCAACCACTATATGGTTAGTGGTTCTTTTTTTACCCAAGTCTGCTGAATCTTAAAAATCATTAATAGGTTTCCTATGATGGTCAATGAGTGATACAAAGCTTCAGTTTCCAAACAGGCAGTCACTGAAACTGATCCAACTATCATTTTTATTTCTTGGGTTATTGCATTGGGTTGAACTTACTAAGCCTAGGCAAGTCATACAATGAAATGCTTTGCTTACCCTTGTGCATCCACTCCTCAAAGCTGCAAACTAGCCATACTAGCTCAAAGGATTTGTGCTGTTGCTTCTGAGCCCACCCAAGGTTTCCTGGGTACCTCTGTCATTCACAGAAGACACTCCAGCTGCAATAGTTAGCAAAGCAGATATGGGAGGCTTTGAGGAGTGAGTCCAGCAGGGCACTTTGTTTGTTGAATGATTTGCACAGCCCAAGTACATGCTTCTATTATACTGTTGTCATGACAGTACAATAGTTACTGCAATATTTCTTAAACTATTTTGCTCCAGCATGAAAGCTACCACAATGACACTGTTAGAATAGTTATTTTTCTCTCACTTTTCACGACGTGAGAAGTTGATTCAGAGTTCCACCTAATTCGACCTACATTTCAATCCCTTCAGAGATCATACTGCTTGCATTTTTTTGATGCTGATGTTTGATCTGAAGATTTAAATTAGCATTATTTGCTACATATTTAAAGAGTCTGTTTTTGAAATAATTAGTGGAATACAAATAATAATAATACTAGAATGTAAACAAATAAGCAAGTTTAATGTCATTCTGAAGTCATTAAGACAAAACTTCAGTTCTGCATATACAGATGAATCTGGATGTCTGATTCTCTTTGGAGATTTTTTTTTTTTTAACTAATTATTAACAATGTCTTGAAAAGCGGTAGATCCTGGTTTTAGGACATAGTTAAGCTTATATTTTTAGATGAAATATGTTTGTAAAATATGCCTTTTAGACTACAAATGTAAGTATACTTTCTTTTTCAAGACAATTGTCAAAGAACAGGAAGTAAACCCCCTAGATGACAATTTGTAATAAAGTGGTTTCTATGAAGTCTTAGTTATTTAAATATAAAACAGCTGAAATCTTTTTAAATGCTCATATTCTTGTACAAGGAAAAGGTTAGTATCATATTGTTAACACTATCTAGGAAAGACTGCATTCCAGATTGTACACAAATTATTGCCTTGAGCTGTCAAATGGGAATGACATAAATACTGCCAGATGTTTCTTTTGTAACAAGTACCACAGAAAACTTCATAATTTCCAGTTATATACAACTGCTGGATACAGCCTCACAACCAAGAGGTCCCAACAATAAATGTTTTGTTTACTTTTCTATGAAGAAACAGATGTTTAAGTCTCATCTTCAGTGATAATACTTGACAGTTTCCAACCTGACTTGTTTTGGTCCCCCTCAAATCATTATAAATATATACTTTCTGATTGTAATTAAGCCCAGGGAAAATTTGTCTCTTGATTTTACCACCTGAAGCTGCAGCTGTTGGCTGACATTATCAAAGCTTCACAATTGCAAACTCACGTGCAAATCTCATCAAGGGTAGACATTTCTAATTAATTCCAGAAGTCTTTCTTTTGTTCAGATCAGGAAACAGAAGAAAAATAACAATCAGCTTCCAAACAGTGGGTGTTCAGCTTCAGCATGGAGATTTTAAAAGCTCTAACTTGGCTGCCCCACCAGAAATGCAGAGCAATTTTACGGTCAATTGGCCAGAACATTTGGAACTATACATCATCATCTGTAGTGGATGGTAATGAAGCTCACACAACTAAAAGTAGAACTGGTAATGACTCTGTCACAATGAGGTGGAAAGCAATATTTCCGAGGGCCATTATTACCATTTGGGCTCTCATCTTATTGAAAAGGTCGATCATACTAGTGTATGGGTCAAGATTTATTTGTTAGCAGACATAGTATCCATAGTACAAGCTCAGCTTCTATTTATTTAAGCACAAGTAGGCAATCTTGGCCAGAATAGTACTTACTATGTTGAAGGAAAGACTTCCAAGGGCCACTGAGGCATCTGGTAGTCACTTGAAGAATCATCAGAGAGAAGATTCTCAAAAGTTTTGACCTTTGGGGGGAAGTTCTCCAAATAACCCATAACAATTTGTGCAAATCAATATTTCTTGGGAGGGGATCTGGAAGCCATAAAAAGGAGCTATACATGTGGCTTGCAGGATGTCTATCTTTGGTTTCCATCTATATATGCTGCCAAAACTTTTTATGTTCAACCTTTAAGGCAGCTTTTTTCCATCGCTTTCTTTCTTCATCTTTCTATAATTGCCTTCAACCTCTCCCCCATACATACAGCAAGTGTATGGACAATGGGCAGGGAACTTCTCTTCTAAATTCAGGAGTGTGAAGCTTGAAGGCTGCACTGGGATTTATGCAATGCATCAAGGATTGCACTCCAAATCTTGATGAAACTACTTTTATTTTTTACGTTTTGATTTTTTCAAAAAAAAATTTACTCTATTATTTTGTTAATTATAATAGGAAGATCCTATATCCCAAACATATTATAGCTTCATCAGAAGAGGGTGCTATAATGCTGACTCTATTTCAGTGTCATACTTCTTCCACTACAAAAAAAAGTCGCAGCTATGTTATTCCCCCACCCCACCCCGATATAGCAAATATAGTCTTCGAACTGGGGACAAAGGAGCAGGTACAAGCATCTACTTGACCAAAACCCAGCTCAAGTACTATGCCCAGTTCTAGACACCATATTTTTAAGAAGGATTCAGAGAGACTGGGACAGATTCTAAGGAGGTCAGTGAAGATGACGAGGATCTAGAAACTAACTTCTATGGAAAGAGACTGAAGGAGCTAGGTATTTTTAGTCTTAAAGAAAGAAGACTTTGTAGGGATGTAAGAGTACTCTTCAGATACATGAAAGCATGTTCTCTATCATTTCAGAGCACAGAGCAAAGAATAATAGATTTATGTTACAAAAATATAAATTCTATTTTTTTTTAAACTTCCCTAACAATAAAAGCAAGGTTTAAAAGTAGATCGAATTACTAAACAGAGTGAAGTGACTTCCTTCCCTAGATGGACTGAAATGTAAGCTAGACAGCCATTTATAGTAGATGCTTTAATTTGGATTTCTCTCTGAGCAAATTTTGAGATTGGCTCAGTTTAAGATCCTACGAGGAAGGAGAGGGCAACAACTACAAATTATCAGCAGGGGTTGAGGAATAACTTGCGGAGAGGAAGCAAGGAGCAAGGAACTGGGGAATCAGAAGAGGGAAGTGCTGAGGTAACAACTGGGGGTGAAAGCAGACAAAGAGAGTTGGAGAAGACATGAAGCAACAGAGACAAGTACAGCCATGGGAGTAGTAGGTAGATAAAGCAACTATTGGCAGAAAGAAGCCTATGAGAGGGACATGGGGCAAGGGGACATAGCACTACATTGGATTCTCTCAGGCCACGTGCTGCCTGCAGCCATACTTTCACATGTTCCTCTTTTTTCCACATTCTCAGCATATCTTTGGAACAAGGGCAAGATGGAAAAAAATAAATAAATAGAAAATACAGAGGTAAGGCATAATTATAGAAACAAATGGATAAATGTCTAAAATACTGCATAAGGTATTTTAGTTTTAGGTAGCAATTAGCTCAAATACTGTATATCTACATCAACAATTATGCTAATTTAAGATGCATGAACATAATTACAAATCTGGGAACTATGAATAAATGAATTATAGAGATGACACTTAAAATAATTCATTTTGCAAAGAGAATAATTTGGTAAACATAAATTATATTTATGTACTTTATACTTAAATTATAACGTCTGTTTCAGAATAACTATTCTCTGCTAAGTTTGTAAAATAAATAAACACATGCAGATCATACCAAAACAGCAGAGTGCTGCCATGGCTGTGAAATAGATGTGCTAAGTGGATATCAATATGTGTAATTCCATAATAAAGCAACTTTTCTTACCTCATATGCGATTGACAAAAGTGCAATATGCATTTCCAAATAACCAAGCTTGTGCAGAGCAAGGAAAACAGAGCAACGTGCAGATTCCAAGAAAGGAGCTTCAGGTCTAAAAATAATTGCAATTTTAAAATTACCAAAATTAATTGGCTCTTTAATTCGTTATACAGCTCATTTTATAGACCTAAATAACAGAGATGCACAAAGCCATATGTGGCCCTACACAACGTTTCTAGAGGTTGATGCAGAATTGTAACTCTTTCATGAGACAGAAATGGGAAATTTTTAACAGCATTGGGAGAAATCACATCATATGAAACCAAAGTTTAGCTTCTGTCTTGGTCCTATCTGAATATTTGAGAGAAGCTCCTAGCATATTATTCTAAATCCAAGTATCTACACATTTCTGTACTTTAGGTAACAAAAGTGGAATCAGCAACTGTGTTTCTCAGAAAGTATGGACAGCACGCAGTGGTATCATTCTGCAGCACAGACTATTTTATGTTGGTAGAAACTCTATTTTGTGTGTCAGATATGTCAGATCTAATTCTTTGTTTCTTTTGGTGCAAGAAGTTGTACAAACAGTTGCACAAACACTTCAATGATTCCGTACAATGTCGTTATGCTAAATATTTCTCGCATTTATGGCTTTTGCTATTAGAGTACACAACCACAAACCAAATGCCATTTCTTGGACTTGTTCAGCTAGTATTACATAAGATACAGCAAACAATCTTTAAATAGTATTTATGAATGTGTAGATGCTATTGAGAGGTATACTTAGAAAGAGAAAGAAATGAATTTTATACCAGAAAAAGATGTGCATTGTATATTATTGTATAAAATCTTTAAAAAATTAAGAATACAAATTATATGGTAATCTTATTTTTGGAAATTGACAGAACAATCTGTGTCATCTGTGGCAGAGGTATTCTATCAATCTTTCAAAGTATTATATCTGCACATAATTTTATGAATTATGGAATTCCAGCAGAAATTAGTGTTTGCCCTTCTTGTTTCTTGGTAATGCTCCATTGGACCCTCACTTTACAGAGGTCCTGGGCTTCATTTTTCTTCTAACAGGCTCCCAACATTATTTTTAATGTGAGCTTTTGAACTTTATACCTGTTGCTTTGAATCCATATTCTAATGTTTGGGACATGCTCCAATGGTATTAATTTTATACTTCAATATGATTTTTTTTCTGAAAATTTCATTATTCCTTAAACACGTACATATAGAGAACCAGTATGGTGAAGTAATTAAGGTGTTGGATGAGGAGCAAGGAACCCAGGTTTTAGTCCTCCCTTGGGCAGGGAAGCCACCTGGGTGACCTTGGGTAAGTTATTCCCTCTCAGTCCTAAATCAGCATCAGGCTCTGTGACAAGCTGGCTGAAAAATAAAACTCCTTCTCACATCATGCAATAAGAACTTCAGCAAGCACACTACAAAACAAATGGATCCTGCAACCAAGCCAAACAAACCCCAAGGCAACTTAAACATGTACATATGGCTCTAAAATTATCAGACTCTTTTAAATTAATCCTGAAACTTTTGGGTCCTGTGTAAACGTCAGTCAGTCCAGAGGTATAAATCTTATAAATCTCTTAACTCCTGATCATGCTTCTTGGGGTTTAGATGAGCTGTCGACCAAAACATCTGGAGGGTACCATGTTGCCTACCTGTATTCTATATCAAGGGTTTTCAAACTTTTTCAGCCTGGGGAACCTGTTAGTTAAAAAAGAAAAAATCCTGGAAGTGTGATTAAGAGGCAAAGCTTTAGTGACAGAAAATTTGCTGTGGTCAATTAACATTTTTTGCACTGAATCTCTTACTGAACCCCATCAAATTCTTGTGGAATCCTAGGGTTCTCCAGATACAAGTTGAAAAACCTGGCCTATATTACTGCATTGTCTCATGGTCCTAGACTTTTCAAGAAAATAGCTTTGCCAATTTTAAATTATGGGAAAGAAAATATTGTCCTCCCAAGCTAGACAGAACTAATAATTTTAGTACAATGACTGAAATTAATATATCAATTGCATTTAACATTGTAACTATAATTTCCTAGTGGCAACAGACTTAGAAGATCAGCACTAAAACATTTGTTTTGCTATTGTATGGAAAAAGACCTCGATTTCCTCACTCTATCGACATCCAGATAAAAAAATCAAAACCTTAATGATGCATTTTCTTCACTTTCTCTATCATTTCAGAACAGATATGTAAAGTGTTTCTCTGTTTAAATCACAAAATATCATTTTGACATTTGTCCTTTGTGTGATTTCAGCACCAGAAGAGACATTTTGGCAGTCAAAATGCTTTTACTATCTACAGAACGGATACAGAAATAAAGGCTCAATTGCCTACCTTTGGTCCATAAGGAAACCAATGGAGGTCAATGTCAGGATAATGTAGCCAATTCCCATGAGAAGAGTTACCTGTGATAACGTCTGTTAAAACAACAAGCAGACAAATTACTCATTTAGGTTAGCTCTCTGGAGGGATATTGTGTTCTAAACTTCCCAGTGAGGTAGTCTGAACTTTCACTCTCAATTATATGAGTTTGTTGCTGTCTGCTTTTTGAGTAGTTTGATACTTTGAACTTTACAACTAAAAATCCACTGTAGATTCTCTGTCCCTCCTTCATGTCATTATGTTTCAAAGCTGAAGGTTACAAAAATGAGATATTTTCCCCCAAATCATTCTTCACACAATGTTACTCTTGAAAATAATTCTTTCCTCTTATTATGGTTTCTTCTCCTGACATTATTTGAACCTTTGATGACCTGAACCAAAGGGGTAGACCTGTTTTCTAAATAAATATCATATCGCATATCTGCTCCCATTCTCTAGCCAGAACTCTTAAAAACATTAGATCTTTGTATTTTCCAATCTGGATTCTCTGGAGAGTATTGGCAACTGAAAAAAAAATCCTGTTAAAAGGAGGAAAAAAGTATGGAAAGAAAGTAAGTCAAGCAGTTTATCTCACATATATTCTTCTGCTTCTTAGCTATTCAAAATATTAATCTAGAATCATTGGACTGTTTGGAGTATGGGCTCTTCACGATTCAAGTGGAACATTAAGCATATTCAGTTCAATTCAGACACAGGGTTCCTGACTTGAATTCTCAATGGGGACTAAACAAATAGAATAAGGTGACATGATTCCTATTTGACTTCATGCATTTTGTATATCTAGAAGGATATTTTCCTGTTACACTAGACAAGGATGATCAGCAACAATATTCAAGGCAAACTTTCTGCCAGCACAGAATTTCATTAGAGATATGTCAAGGAAATAAATGGCAGCAGACACAACCAAAAGGAAAAAAAGGGGGGGGGGCGCGGGACAACAACAATGAAGACTATGACCTGATATTTTCAAAGACTGACAATTCATCCCTCCAGGAGTCATGTTAACATTATGGTTAGCCAAGAGGTTAATTAATGCAGTTGTTAGCATTTTATTTTTGCTTACTCTCGATAGCATACTCTCAATTTTCTATAACATAAATGGATTCTTTGAATCTACAATAGCCCTCTTCCATTCCTTTCCCCTCTCTCTGTACCTAAACATTTGTGTTTCTCTCTCTCTCCTACCTCTATTCTCTTTCGGAAGAGTATATAATATTTTTATATATCTTTTCTTTAGCCTTCACCTTCCTTTTTCTATGTTCAGTTTTCTACCTTTCACTGCTGTTTTATACCTCCTGTAGTTATTCTCTTTCAAATGCAACATCTGACCAGGGTTTCATTCTCTCAGAAATCCTCATAATGGAACACGTCATTTTTCTGACCAGATGGGTAGCTAGCCATCTAAAACAATCTAGAAAAACTAGCAGAAATTCCACTATGAACTTGGAATCCAGGGATAGGATGGGTGATGCTGAATTACAGAAGATCTCTGTCATCCCAGTCTTTCTCATAAAAAAGTTTGGATATGCCTAGATCCTCAACATTCCCATGGCTACTAAGGTGACTGCAGACGTTCCTCTTGGTACTTGCTAGGCCCTGTATCCCAAATGACTTATCAAACTTTTTTTTTTCCTTTAAGTCTTCTTAAGATAACACTAAGTCTCTCAAGACACTTTGCAGTAGACTGGATGTTGTTAAATGACACAAGCAGTCTTTTACAAATAAAGTATATTTACAAGGGGAAGGTGACCCATTATTTAAATCAATTGCCCAACAAGAGGAAAACTGGATAGGCTTCCAAGTGAGGTCTAATGGCAAACTAGAATCCCTGAAGGAGTGGGGACAGCACTGCGGTGGAGATCAGTGGCCAGACAGCAAATTCTGGTAGGTGGAATCTCTCCAGACAAGGAGAGACCATGAGATCGCCCACCTCCACTCTGGACAGCTGCTCCTCATGAGAAGACTGCAGGGATCATGGTTTTTGTGGTTGACTTGTGAGTCGAGCAGCTGGGAGTCAAGGGATTTCAATTGTGCTCACAACCACAATGCAACCTATAATGGACATAAGGTTCTCAAAAGCCTCACTTTCTTAATCATTATTGGATATAATCAATTTAAATTAAAGAGAGATCTTCAGATCAGCAGGATAAGGGGAAACCACTTGGTGAGTCAACTGTCTTTCTGGATCAAAGAAAGTGAAACAAATAATGTTTTAAAGGATTTTAAATTACTAGCAAAAAGTTTAACAAGGATTTGATGTAAGAAAGTTTAAATGGATAAAGGGGACACTAATTTTGAAAGATTAATTTTTGGCAAAAATGCTTTTGAAAATATTGGAACTAAATAGACAAATGGACTAGATTTTTGTGGGAATGTTGTTTTTAAAGAACACAGACAAGATAAAGGTAATATGAGACAGACTGTATGAGTATAAATACAAAGTGTCAAATGAGACTAAAGTAGTAAGGACATAGAAAGGCAAAACAGAAGAAAAAGGGGGGGAACCAGCCTTTTATTATTATTTTTTTCCCTTGTAATTGAGACACTTTCATTTTTGGATTACAATATTAGAATGGCAACCACCAGAAAATCGGCAAAAGCGGAAGAAGGGAGGAGAGGATCATTAGAGCAACCTACAGAAAGGGGGATTACCCCAGAGATGTTGCAGAAAATGTCTGACAAATTGGGCAAGAATGTATGTGAATCAGTTAATGCTAAGAATGAAAGAAAGACTTGTAAAGAGGAAAGAGGAAATTAAAGAAGTTAAGAAGATTGAAGAATCTATAGGAAAGTGATTGGAGATATAAAACAAATTAAAGACAAAGTGGAAATTTTGGAAAGCAAGATAGTTGTTCTTGCTTCTAAACAGAGAGATGAAAAAAGATTTAGATAATTTGGCACTATTAGAATTGAGAGAGAAAAAACTCTGCTTGAGATTCAGAGTGATTCAAGATGATTTTGGGGAAGACATCAGAGAAAAGGTTGCTTATCAATTTTTTTGGAATGGGATGAAGAGGATACAGAAACAGAAACTGACAATGTTTATAGGATAAATACGAGGATTTGTGAAACTAAGAAATGTCCAAGGGATGTCCATGTGCACTTTCTCAGGAAGAAGACTAGAGACCAAGTTCTGCAGCAGCATGTTAATACTAGACTGAAGATTGATGATACAGATGTAATTGTGCTTAAAGAAATTGATTAGAATACTTTTTTTTGGACTGATAGACTTAAACAGAAAAAGATTCCATTTCGATGGGACAAATTGGAAGGAGTAATTTTTACTTTTAAACAGCAGAGGTTTTGACTGAATTCTGTGCAGAAAGTGAGAGAATTCTTGGAATTCAAAGAAATGGAGGAAATACAAACGGACATGACAGTGACAGATAAGACTACATAAAAGTCTCAACAGTTGCAACAGGACATTGAAAAGGATATTACTGCATTAGATGCTACAGGTATCAATTTTTCTAAATTGTTGGCCTAATTACGGATTACAAATGCTTAATGTGGAATATAAATGGAGCAAATGCTCCACACACACACACAGAATCATTATTTGAGAAAATTAAAACAAGATATAATTTGCCTATAAGAAACACATATTAGAAAAAAGGATACAAAATATTTGATTTACAAAAATTTGGGTGAAGAATTTATTTCAGCAGAAACAAAAGGAAAAAAAGAGGAGCTTACTTATTTATTTTTCACTGTGCAAGAGACTCTAGGCAGCATTACAAGCAAAAAAATGATAAAATCTTAGAAAAAATATACAGATTAAAAACTACTAAAATTAAAACTAAAAAGTTAAAACTACAGTGCAAACTAAAAAGGCGGAGAAAGCATCCTCAGGCTACCAACCACCTGAGTTGTTTTGTATATAAACCCCCAACTACAACCAGAACTTATACTGACTGATGAACATGGTATATATGTTGAGGTGGAAATTAATCTGCATGGGGTTAAGACTCTGATATTGGGAATCTATGCCCCAAACAAGGACAGAGTAACATTTTATAAAGGACTTATGAATAGACTAATGGACTTTTCTTTTGAAAATTGGTGTCTAATGGGAGATTGGAATAGAGTGGTTTTCTCACAAGAAGAGAGAAAAGATTAAAATTACACAAGGTAAATGTCACCCTGACCAGGTAGACAAGACAGGAAACACAACCAGATAAACTAATTCTGCATTACTGTAAAGCTACATTAACAGAATTTCCAAGTCTGAAATTACAATTCTTCCGCCATCACCTTTACAGCCCAAGAACCTCTGGGGCCTCTTGCTCCACCCACTATGCAGCTGTGGGCTATGCTGTCTCTTATCTGAAAGTTCCGTAGGCAGCATCTCTTTGTCCTGTCTCCCAAGGTCTTTCCCATATACCACTATAGTAAATTACCAAAAGTTTTCTTTGATTTGATGGACAATTTAGAGCTTGTTGATGTATGGAGACATACAGTAAAAATGGCAATTCAAAAGAGTATACTTATTTCTCTGAAAGACACAGATCTTTTTCAAGAATAGATATGATTTGGATTTCAAAGAATTTGGCTACTGAAGTTCATAAAGTAGAGATACTACTAAAAACTTTTTCAGACCATAATCTAGTGAGTTTGGTTTTTAAAAAGAAAATTAGTTATTTCAGATGGAGGTTAAATGAAATGTTGTTACAAAAAGAGATAATAGCAGAGAACTGTAAAAAGAAATTAAAAGAATTTTTTGAAAATAATCTTAATAAAGGCACAGATGTTAGGATGGTTTGGGATGCAAGTAAAGCTTTCATGAGAGAGTATTTTATAAAACATAATAGTGAACTTAAAAAGAAGAGGCAAGAAGCTATTTTGGATGAGATAAAAAGACAAGAAGAAGAATTAAAGAAGTTTCCAGAGAAGTTAAGTATTACCCAACAAATTAAGCTTTTATGGTGACAACTGCCTATGTTAACAATAAGAGAAATGAAAATAAAAATGAATTACACAAAACAATAAAAAAAAATGAGTTTGGAAATAAAGCAGGGAAATGGTTGGCATACAA